TTTCAAGGGAGGCAGTGGAAAGAAGCTCAAAGATGTTAAAACACAGGAATACCTACAGTGGTCTTGAGATCCATAGGATTTGTTATGCTATTTATGGTGCTAACAGGCAGGAACCATGCGTGCTTTAGCCAGAGATGGGATGGTACTGCTATCCTAGTGACAAGATTGCAAGGAACCTCTGCAGGCTGGAACCTACTGGGTTTCTCATCTTTGAAGCTGGATTTTTCCATTTGATCAATTCCCAGTGTGGTATCACTCTTGGAAATAACCTATAGGAACAAACAACATAATATATTGAAATGGAATGAAAACCAGGCAAAGGCACGGGTGAGGTGCAACAGCTACCAACAAGTATTGAGTTGCCTTGCTTAGGGCAGCATCAGAAAAAAATAAGGTAGAGGTGGAAAAGGGAGTGGAATTTATTATCTAGGTTCAGCTACGTCTACATGGACTGAACACAGCAGTGTAAAATGTGTCTTGTCGGAACACTCCATCTCTGCTACGGTTGGTCAAATTCAGGTGAGGTGATATCAGGCGGTAGGTGCTCATTGGCCCCCTCAGGGGAAGAGGAGGGTGGGGCACTCCTGGAAGCAGGAAGGTTGAGTCACTCAGCTCTCTTCTCCTACAAGTAGTCATGCAACATATGAGATTAGATATGTAATCTGTACTGTTGCCAAAAAGTGGTAAATGAATAAAGGAGGTTGCAAAAGGAACGGAAATTCATTCAAATGAAATTGTGTGTGAAAGTGAGTAGAAAATACACTGCAGAAAATAACTAAAGAATAAAAACTTTAAAGTTAAAGGAGCTGAAATTTTACAGATTCTTCAGTAGGACTGCATTGCCAGAGCTATTTGCTGGGCATTAACAATATCTCCCCATCTCCTAGTGAATACAAAGATACATCTAAAATTTTCCAGATAAGACTGTCATATATTAGGAGATATAACTTTGGAAAAAACTCTTAACTTTCAAATTTTTCTCTCCCCTTTTTTAAAAAAATCCATTTTTTGACTCTCCAAAGTTTGGTGAGAGTTTGAGAATTTGTGGGACTATATGGGGATTGGGTCCACCTAAAAAGATCATCCATAGTCTAAAGCAGTCACCAAATGTATAAGTATTCCATATTGCAAGAGCAGGGAAACTCCCTGAAATTTCTTTATCTCTGAAGCTAGAACAAGTTTCCTATCTTCAAACACCTTAGCCTTCTTTTAAGTAAATATTCAAATTATAATACCCAGGGTTGTCTGAAGAAACAAACTATATTGCCTAGGAAGTAAGCTACTTTTTCACAAAGATAATCCTAATAATTTTAAGATACCTAGAAGTTAGCTTGATATTTTCAAGAACAAACACATGCAGTTCTGTGCAGAATGATCTAATCACGAGGCACGAGAAGGGCACCACTGGAACTCTGAAGACCTCTGTTTGGTTCCTGATTCAGCCACTGATTTTCTCCCCATGACTATCAAGGTCATCCAGTCTTCCTATACCTCATTTCCCCAGGTGTAAAATGGGGCTGATTTTTCCATAACTCAGGCTGATGTTAAGAAAGCCAAGATCCTTATGTTTTCACAGAATCACAGAATCGATGAGGTTGGAAGAGACCTCTGCGATCATCCAGTCCAACCTTTGCCCTAACACCACTATGCCAACTAGACCATGGCACTAAGTGCCATTCAGTATGGTAGAACAGAGGACTTGGGCTGCACAGACATAATTTAAATCCATTCATTGTTTTCCTTCACTATGTTCCTGCTTGCCCTGCTCTAGAAGGTGTTAGAAAAGTCGCTACCACCATTATTCCAAGTTATTCAAACATGAAGTTCTGACACAATGGCAACTGGTGCACCTGGGGAAAAGAGACACAGACTAGAGCTCAGCTGTGAAATTTTTCATAATGACCACAGATCCTAAGATGAAGAATGCCAGGAAATGTTTTATTTATCCTAACCAGCTGGACTCCAGAAGCACCAGTTATACTGACCTAACTGGCTCTGTAAATGCCTGGAAAAAAGCAACTCATATGTAACTGCTGTCAAGTGATTGCTTTGTAGGTGTAGAACTGAAACACAAGGCTTGGTAAATGCTATGAGAACTTAGATGCACTTAGCCATAGACTTGTGGTCTGTACAATTAGGGAAAAGGCTCTTCATGAAGTTAGACTCCAGATACACTTGCGTCAGATCCTGCTATTCTGAAATGTGCCCTTCTGAAGAACAGCCAAAATTACATATCCATGGAAGTTCAAAAATCCCATCCCTTGGTTGAGACAGTTTTGAGATCTTCACGATCACATTAGCCCACCTTCCAAGGAAAAAAATTGCACAGAGATCTCCCTTTTCTCATGATGCTCCACACTGTCCTTGTAGGATACTGGCACAACTGCATGCATTGCAGGTGAAGTGCACCCAGTAACTGTTGAGATCAAGCATGCTTTCCTCCTGCAAAGAGCCACACGTGAAGATAAAAGTCAGTCCTGAAAGAAAACAAGAAGAAGAGGCAGCAGAAATATAATGCATCACTGGAGAGGTGCATGCAGCTCCAACACGTGTGTCCAGATGCTGACAGTCCTGCATGTGGAGGTGTAACTCACAGCTCTGGCATCCCGGGCTGGAATTTGCTCTGGGATATGTCACTGCAAACTCGGTGTGCCTGGCTGGCCAGCAGCCACCTGGAGAGCAGTGCCTCCTGGCAACTCAGAGCAGGGCAGAGCACACTTCAGGCAATGAAGTACTTACTGCAGTGCTCGTGAGGTTAACAGCAGCTAAAGGTGGTTAGGATCGGATATTTTCCAAAACATCTGGAGCAATTGAGACTCTTAAGCCAGGCATGCCCAGGGCTCTGGTTGTGATGTGGGACTATTATACAAGTATCTGTATACCGGATTAGATATTCCTAATTAATTACTACAGCGTATGCTTGCTTGAGCCAAATGTGGGCTCTGCATCTTTTGATTTTCTTGTCTCAACGATCTCCTTATGCAAGGTGGTGTAGGCCAACACACAAGGTGTCTACCAGCTGGAACTTACCTGCACTTTCAGTATTTACTTATCTGTCTTAACAGTAAGGAGCTGGTAGCTGGTTTTCCACCCTGCTTGGCACCAGAATGGCTGTCTCTTCCAGTGTCCACAAGAGTTAGTACTGACACCCCTTTTTACTGGAATTTTGCTTTGCTGTGGGCATCAGTCCAACAGAATTTATCCTGCACAGCCTGGTCATCCCAGTCTTTCCACAGGGTGTGCAGAGGCTGGAACTTCATTAAGAAGAACCTGCTTCTTTTTTGCCATCCAGACTTGGGACAATACAGCTGAATCCTTCTCAAACACAGTTTGCCTGACTAATAGCAGGATCCCACATTCTAGATATTAGTCACATAGAGATCGTAATATTGTAAGTAGCAAAAAAATGTGAATGAATATCATAAGAAATACTTATGAGAGCCTTCAGAATAGTGTGTAAGGACACTTGACCCCTACGAACAAGCGAAAAAGAAGAAAAGCTGTGTGTTTAGTAGCACTCTCCTCGCTTATTGAGGACTTCCATCTAAATTTAAGCATTTTTGCTAAGTTAATCCTTCACACCAATATTCACTGGTATTAAATAATGGCAAGGGCCTTTACTGCTGTAGCAACAAGACAGAGTAGCATTAAAATGTCCTTCCCAGACATGTTCATTTAAATAAAAAGTGAGTGTATGTGAGAATGAAGGAAAAGAGAGAAGTGCCAGCAGGTGAGTTACTCATAACTACCCATCTTAAAAATACTCTCTCAAATATTCTAGCAATAAGATAGTTACAGAAGGTAACAGGTTATATTTTCTCAAGAAACAGAAATATTAGTTTAATTTGCTAGAAATGCTGAGGGAAATTCTATTTCTTGAAAATTCAAGTTTCTCCAAGTGGACCACTGTGGTAGAAGACCATCCTTCTGAGCCCAGAGCCACTGGAAAAGTATAACTTGTACACTACATTTCTTCCAGCTGGAGTTTCAAAAACTAGCAAAAGTCAGTTGTCATTATTTAGCCTTACATTTTCTATAATCTCTGTTCTTGTGGAGTTTGGATTTCTTTTTTATTTAAAATACAGATTAAGTTTAATGAATAGAAAAGTATTTATTAGTGTTGTTCATACATAAAGATAATAGACAATGGAACTTCAAAAGAACATACACGCAGTGTTGAGCACAAGTGCTTTAGCTGTTTGAGTAAGGGGTCCAGTCCTGGGCCTATGTTCGAACTTGCATGTCATTTTATCTCTGCATCTCTGTTTACCTGCCAGAAAATTAGTACAATGTGCTTCATACTATAGGAGAAAAGAGGGAATTGAAGTTTGCAAAGTTTTCTGACATCCTTTGACAAGACTGGAGAGCTGAGGCTTTGCAAAATTATGGAAAAATCTGAAAACCTTGTTGCCCTTCATTATTACAATGATGAAAAACTAATTATAATGTAGTTCCCTGCCAAAATGTTGCTTGCACTGGCTGAGAAAGCTGAAATCTGCAAAGCTGTAGAAGTGGTTCTAAAACTGCTTTATAAGCAATACTGCCTAGATCCTGTGAAAGATGAACCTTTGACAAAGGCTTAGCACTTACAGAGAAATCTAGTTAAACACAGAGAGAAAGAATATTTTGAATATATTTATAAGTTTATTTTTCTTAACAATTTTTAAGTCAAAAGTATTGTACATAACCCAGAAGTGCATAGCACTGAATTCATCACTTTGGCTAGCCCAGCTCAAAGAGAGGCAAGGAGACTACTTATATACTTCTGTGTAGAGTATGTAACATCCATTGGCAACACCTGTGTAGCAATTTATGTGCAAATAAAATCTGTAACATCTTCAACTATGCCAAATGTAGTTTGTTGTGTATATACAAAATCAGAAAAATATATTCATTTCTTTCTTATATACACTATATAACATGACAACAAAATCTGGAATAGTTTGCAGTAACTTAGAGGAGACCGGACTTTTGTGATGCAGAGCTTTAGAAACACTTCCTCAGCACTTTTTGTCTTGGACCATTGTGATAAAAAAGTTGCAGAAAGAAAGCAAGCTTTCTGGACAGTATTCCTCAGCCACCTTTTTCTGATCAATATAATCTATGTCTTCAACACAGTCTGGAGGACTCTGCTCTCGCTTTTTTTCAGTCACAGAGGCAGCTGCTGGAAGCTGAACAACTTCTTTTGCATGATGAATTGTATTTCCTTTTGCAGGACCAACTGATGCTAGTAGGCTTGACTGGGTCAACTTGAGATGAGCGCTTCGTGGACCTTTCCTACATAGTTTAGATTTTAGAACACTTTTGGGGTCTTCACAGATCTGCTTTTGCTTCTTTAGGGATCGGGAGACTTGTTTCCAGTAGGATTTCTGGTTTGCTGCATACTGCGTGCACGTGGAAGGATCTCCAGAGAATTCGCACCAGAACACGCTGTCACCATGCTTGCACTCTACATGCACCGTAGCAGCATTCATGTCAGTCACTGCCCAGGTGCACTCAGCATTTTCTTTGGTTTTAAACTTGCCTTTGGGAGATGATTTTCCTCCTTTTGACCTCCGCCCTTTTTCTTTTTCTTGGTTAGATTCGGTTTGTTTTTTTCCACCATCTTCAATGCCTTGTCTTCCCTTCTTTCTTTCTTTCTGTCTTTCACAGTTGGCTAGTAGCATCTGGGAGACCAGAATCAACACACAAAGAAGTCCAAAGCTTTTGATCCTCATGGTCTCTGTTTTGCTTGTTATCTGCCTTCAAAGCAAACAAACAAACAAAATATAAAAACATTTTCACTTAATGCTGGATGGACTCCATGTGATAGTTGCAGTACTTCAGACATGGTATTGCACTGCTCTTTGATACCTATTAAAATAATGTTACTGGCAAAATCCTTTGTCCTTTCTATGAATAATATCTGGTTTCTAGAACCATTATGTATTATCCCTGAGAAATGTAGATGGCTGTATAGTAAGTCCTCCTGATCTAATTACTTGCAATGTTCTATGCAATGTGGAACAGAAGAGAGTCACCCCCAGGATGTGCTACTGCCCAGTGACTAAGGTACCTTAATTAAAATCTCTTCTGCAGTCAGAGAAGGAATTTGAACCTAGAATTTGTCAATCAGATGGATATCTTCAGTTATAACATATAAAGCAGTTGTTGTTCTTATGATCTCCCGTTTTGCAAACGGCACATAAGCAATTTTGACTCCAACTTCTGGCTATTCAAAAATATTCCGGACAGAAAGGAAACCGTTTGGTTCAAGTTGAGAGAAATTATTTCTTAGGCATCCTGAGAATTGTCTTAATTCACTCGTTATGCCAATATTTCAGTTTTCTGTTGAAAAAAATTATAATATCCTTTCCAGACACCAAAAAGTAACTATTGATGCATTCTCTTCTGCCTTGACTGCTAAACAAACAGAACTACCTTTTTGCTTTTGAAAACACCTGCAGCGTACTGGGCTGTGCCTAAAGCTACCAAATTCAAGGGATCAATGTGCAACTTCAGTTTTGAAATGTAGCTAGTTAGCAATTTATTATCAAGCTGATCTCTGCATCTGCACAGAGCACATTTATTTCTGTAGGTATTTCACTTTATGAAGAACATTCAGGATCAGAGCACACCATAATAGTAGCGGTTTTAAATTTGGCATTTAGTTTATTAAATCCCTACATGTATTTTTCAGATGTTTCCATCACAGCCATTTCTGTAGACAAGTTTCTGTGTTAGAAAGCAGAAATTCATGTGAAGGCACTCTAATAAGAAACCTATCTCAACAGTCAACTATCTGCAAATACCTTTAGCTACATAAATTTAGAATCTAGAGTACCTAGGTAGCAGCAGACGTGAGCAGGTCCTACTTTTGCATAGTTCTTGACTTGCTTCATGCCTTATACTATACACAGAAATTTTCATTCCATAAAACCTTCTTTAGAGAACTTTAAGTAGTATTTACAGTTCTATTACAAATACAGCAACTAATAACATTAAAATGAATAATGATGTGACAGTTAATGATCTGTTGCAAGTGGAATAGTGCAAAAGTAAGATAACTAAAAGACATACCTTGCACAGGGCTGGGAGATATCCAAACGCAACTCCTGATGCAACTCGTCTCTTTAAAAGAATCAGAGCTAGTTGTAAAAGCAGCGTGGTATTTATAAAGGCAGAGACACACCTTCAGGTCTCCAGCAAGACTGTTACAACACAATAGGTACTTCAGTGCCATGTTCGCTTACCTCTGACACACCTCCTTGGAAAAGTGCCAGTTCTCATTCTTAGCACAAAAAAACGCCAGCTATGGTGGGGTGACAAGGTGCGTTTGCATAAATTAGATGATACTTTAGCCAAGTCCTTCCCTCTTCATGAACAGTGATAAGAACTTTATTAGGTCATGAGCTTCTCTAAAAGAGCTTTTCCCAGCTATTGAGTGATGTATCCTGCAACACCCTCAACAAGTTGCACTACTATTGTGTTTAGCAGAATTTGGGTAGTAGTTTTCAGTGATTGTGAAATGAAAACCATTCCACAAAGAATTTCAAAGTTACCTTTTGAACATTTCATTACCTGTTGTCACAAAAATGTATTGGAGAACATTTAAAAATCAAAATAAGTAATTATTCTGCATTAAGGACAGCATTCATTATGGTGAGATGGTCATAAGCACAAAGTTCAGAAACAAATTCAAACTCCCTCAGAATTAGTGAATGTACAGGGTCTAAGAGCTGGGAGCAACTGCACAGCACGGATCTATGCTCCTCCTTCCCTGCCAGATTTTGTGTATGTAAAGAAGGGAGTTACTTCATGAGATTTCATTATCGGATCACGTCTAATGCATATTAACCTGAAAAAGATGATGACGGTGAAAGAACAAGCATTAGACAAACGTAAAAATGCTTTCAGAGTTGGGAAAAGGGGTCCCTTACAGAATGGATAGAGCAGCCTTTGTAGCTTGGTTGCTTCAGATGGTTTTACTGGAGAAAAGCAAGTGGGACGTTTGTTATATGTGTTCGGGAAATACAAGCCCTTTGCTGAGCTGAGACAAAAGGACAAAGCTATAGGCAAGGCATTGCCTGGACTGGTTTGATGGTGAGGAGACTCTTAACTTTCTATAAAAATATCAGAAGCCAAAAAGGAAGAAAAAGTGTAATTCTTCAACGAGTGCAGGACAGAAATGTGGGGAACGCAATTCATTTACTTGAAATACTAAGGGTCTGATTTGTGTGCCAAGACTATCTCCTTATCTATGTATGTGCAGCTACCTTTGATGCTTTCCGATCAAGTTCAGCTATATCAGATCTGCGTTGTGCACCTTTGATTGGCATGAGCTAGTATGAAACTACTCGCAACAGTCCACTAAATGGGAAAGATTTGTAGTTAGCACCAGCAAAGGCTAGTGAAGAGGGGTAAAGATGACTCAAGGATCAAAAAATGTTCAACAGTTTGTCAGGTTGAATGGGAATCAGAGGATGAGGATAATCTAAGAGATAAGTAAGGGAGTGACTATCTTGCTGAGGAGTCCTAAACTAACACCACATAGTATGCACAGTATCATCTGGAATACTAGTATTTAGCAGGGATCCTCAAAACTGTGCAGCTGCCTTACTGTGGCTATGTGGTCTAGCTAATGAGCCTCTTATCAGTGCTAATTACTTTGATGACAGTATCAAGCCAAAGTGGTTACATTACCTCAGGTTCTGGCACTAATTCAGGGATGGCTTTATCATGCTCCATTACCTTGTGTAAGAACACTATAAATTGATTTTTGTGAGATAGATTAGGGGGTTGGTTCAGCCATATCACCCAAAAAAACTCCACCAAACCACCAACACACACCTCCCTACTGTGGCTGAACATCACCTGCAAATAGGGAAGAGAGGAAGGTTACAAAGTATGTAAGGAGCCATGGGCAACTGGACCAGGCACAAGGTTTACCCTAAGGAACTACGCATTCCTGTCACAGCTCTGCCAGATTTTCTCCGAGATATTCACTACGAGATGCCAGATATTCTTTACCTGGAAAGGGAATATTCTTGAAGATGATGTTGCAGTGACTTTTTTGTTGGCATTTACAAAATATCATTTACTGGTGAAACTGATCACAGTGTATTAAAAATATTTAAGCCCTCCACCATTCATCACTTCCAAAATTGCGTATTTTGACAGCTTTGCCTAGCAAAATAGATTTCAATGTCAGTCTCACTTCAGCTGCCCCATTGTTGATGGGACATATCAGTATAGCCCTCCTACTTCATAAAAATGGACAGGGAGAGAAAAGGCTGCGCAAGAGAAGATTTGCCTTTCTGCTGCTTTGATATTCCCTCCCTGAGGTTGTGGCAGACTGGACACACGTTAGTTCTTCACGTCTTTGGCATGCAGAAACTTCTGTAGAGAATTCTGCAGTCCAGTGGTTGTTGATCACATTTTTGAGATGATCCGTCTTGACCTAGCTAGAACTCTTGCCTAACCTGCTTAGATTATTTCAAAATCCTAGTAATCCAAGGTTTACTTATTTAGATGCGTACAATGTAGTCTCAGTCTATGGAGGTTGGCCTAGATACCCTGCAGTTTTATTGTTATGCCCCTAGGATATATTTTTGTTTTGTTTTGTTTTAATTAGACATGAACTGATGTTTTACGGATGTCTTTTACCTACCTGGGCATATAGTGCATATTCATATTGTACCCCAGTAGTCCTGTTGGGAGCTGCCTCATCAGGTGATCAGAACATTTGTTTTCTTCAACTTTCATCTTGAAAAGAAAGTACACAAAATTAAAGTAGGACCTCCACTTCTTAGGTGCTTAACCTAATTGTCAACAAAAAATTGCTGAAAAAACTTGTTTGTAATATCACTTCCAAGAAAGTTGTGGGTTTATTTTTTTTTCCTTTCTGTCATGCACATTTTAGAATATACCTTAGTCTTGCCCTTTTCTGAGCTGAGACACTGTTTTCTTGTAAATTGTAGGTACAGTTTTTCCGCAGAACAGTGCAGACTGGTAATTGAAAGACAATTTGATCCATGCAACATATGGCAAACTTGAACAGCTAATTTGGCAAGATCAAATTTATGGGGAGCTGTTTAGTTATTAAAATAGAAAGGCACAGAAAACATTTGGCAATACTAGTAAATAAAAGTAATCACTGAGAATTACAAACATGGATACTCAAATCCCAATGTGAGTTTTGTACTGAAAAATCTTAATACAGACATATTCCTAAAAATGACTGAAACTTGAGACAGTTCATGAGCATTTTTAAATTTTCATTAGAACTGTTATAATTAAATCTAGCTGTTGTCTTTCTGCTGTTCAAGCAAAGAGAGGAAGTGGTTTTATCCTTATTCCTAACTATGATTTATTGACGTGGAAGAAGTGCAGTATTTTCTAAGTTAGTCCTTATTGCTGCTTATATATTATCCACATATATATTTTGACACAGGAAATGATCATCATTTAAACTATTAGTTGCATTGGTACACTATTTGGAAACTGCAGTTTGCTTGTGGTGTCATCTATGTGACATTGTGAGGCTCCTGTTCATGTATAGTTTTTTTCCCCACAGAATAAAAAGTTAATTTTACAAATAGTAAATGATGAATGAATTCCCTTGACTACCTACAAATATGGGTCCATAAAAGAACATCAGGTATCTGTCAGTCATACATGTAGACACCAGGATGTTGTTCTCCATGCAAATGCTCAGGCAGAGTGAATTAAAACAGAA